TAAATGCATGATAATTAATCATGAATGCAAGTGGCTAATAAATTTATAAAGGTGACCATGTAAACAATCACATTAATAACGTTTTAATCACATTAACATTTAACTCATGTGAATAATTTTAAGAATAAAGTTAAGTACAAAATTTACACAAATGGCCACATATATATCATTTGCACAATTACTATATGTTCTCATTTCTACAATTATAATTATATTCTCAACATAGTCATCAATCACTCAAATAATATAATAATAATAATATGCATGATCAATCTCTTCCTTATATCCCCCCTTATTTCCTTTGACATGAAATCCATGGGCCAACAACCGGAAGGGATCGTCTATGTGGTGAGACTATCCAAGACCTTAATCATATTATGAGGGGCTACTGGGTTAGGGTTACCTTACTCACTTATGAACACGGTTTTCCTCAAATCACACACTATGGGGTGTCATACCCAAAACTAGCTCCACCCAAAACTCCAGTTAGGCCAGTTGGGTCAAGTCCCTTAATAGGAATAATGCTACAGTACCTTACAAGGTAAATAGCGGCTATAACCCCTAGGATTATTGGTTAATAGCCAAATACCATATGAATTTTGCATAACCGCTAACTCCTTCACTAAGGCGAACTCCCGTCATATGATCATGCTCATGAGAAAATACATTTCAAAAACTCATATATATAATTCACAATTATCCCACATACTCATCAACTTTCTTACTCAACAAACATCAAGAATCATCAAATTTCAATCATGCCTCTTGCATCAATTTTTATATTATCACATAAAACCACATTAGCATCATATAAAACTCAACATGCTTATATACAATTTATCACTATGCATGATCCACAACTTATAACCAAGAGTGTACACATCATCATCAACTATCAATTTCATTACTCACACCAAGTCACAATTAACTTGGTCATAAGTCATGGAGTCTAAATAAAGCCACGTGCATTACAAATAACTATTTCCAAATTTAGATAGATAGATATATATATATATATATATATTCTTTTGTCTCACCAACATAATTAATTAATTAACATACAAATGTGTAAAATAAATTTTTTCCAGTTACCTCAACCTTTGAGAGGTCAAAGGTTACCCCTTAAGTTACAAAATTTTCAAAGCTTTTCAAAGCTTGAATGGTGTCAAAAGAAAATTAATCTACAATTAATCATATCCCAATATGTCAATAATATTATTAACACAATTTTCACTCATACTCTAATACCTAAGTATTTATTTCATTTCATTTCATTTTTTTAAGACCTTAGTCTTAATCTCTTGAGTTTTAAAATTTAATTTCATGTATTTGAACCTATCTACTTAGTTCAATAGTCTCCTTTACAATAATTTTATTGAAGTTTGGCTACAACACATTATTCAATAATTTTCTAATATAAAAATTTTCTTTTTTATTCTAAAAATTCACACATAAAAATATTTAAAAATTGCAAATTTGATTTCAAGCCTAGAATCATTATTCTATAGTCATAATAATTTATTTCTCATATCAAACAATCATCAAAATATCAACAAATCAATTTATATTTTCAGATTTAACAAAAAATCTACCCATAGGGATTTATGGATAAACTCAAATGTCTCAAATTCTAATTTTATCAATAAAATATTACTCTAAAATATTTATTACACTACCAACAACCTCAACAACTAAATTTACTCATCAAAAATTCATCCCTCTTTCAAACCTTAGGTTTTCTAAAATATCAAAATCTGTAGCTCAAAGGAAAAAAATGATTAAGAAAAAATATTTAAAACACTTATCTAGTTTTAGAATACTTAAAATCTCATATGAAGTATTTTATTATGGAGTTTTACCTTCTAAACAGTTCCTATCGCCGGTGACGCTCTCGCTCTGTTCTTTTTCTCTTTTTCGCACTTCTGTTGCGCGCACGGAGAGATGAGTAAGGATTGGAACAAATGAAAAGGGCTTGTGTGTGTTTTAAAATAGTTGTGGGTCCCATATTTTTTTTATATTTTTATATATATTAATAATAATATATGCGAAGGTCATTCAGTGGCAGCCTCTTTCTTTTTTTTTTTTTATTAATTGCATACATGCACACCAACGTCCTCATTTGTATAAATATATATATATATATATATATATATCTAAGACACGCACGCGTTCCTTCTCCCTTCCTTTAATTTGTATGTATATATAAATATATATCTCTAACACACACACACAGTGAACGTCCCCATCCCTTCTTATTTTATTTATTTTATTTTTTTTTTTTCTTCCTTTTTCTTACTTTCTTCTTTTTTGTTAATAATAATATTATTATTATTTCTATTTACTATAAAATCATAATTTAGGATTTAATTTAAATTAAATTCAATAATAATGTTTTAATTAAATTTATTTATATCTAAATATTTCTTCAAAATTACTCATTTGCCCTTAATTAATTTAATTAATCTTGGGTTAAATTTTGAGATATTACATTCTTTGCATATTGATTTACATGTAATTTATATTCATTTTCATGTAATTTTAGGGATTGACATGGGTGTGCTCTTTATGTGTTTGATTTATATGTAATTCACTAAAAATTACATATAAATTATTTCTCAAGCATACTCATGAATTTTTTTTCATATTGATTTACATGTAATCAATAATTATTTTCATGTAATTCCAGGAGATTGACAGAGGCATGCTTTTTATGGGTTTAATTTACATGTAATCTTTGTTTAATTTACATGTAATCTGTTGAAGATTACATGTAAATTATTTTTTAGGCATACTCGTGATTTTTTTTTCATATTGATTTACATGTAATTATAAGGGAATGATAGTGGGTACACTTTGTGCACTTGATTTACATGTAATTCACAAGATATTACATATAATTATTCAAGTCAGAAGCCTTACAATTTAAGCCAAAACACGTGCACTCTAAGCTACATCCTTTACACCCAAGCCAAAAACTATACACCTCGAGCAAAAACATGTGCACCCTAAAACAAAAGCTTACACCCCAAGCTAGATCCCTTGCATTCAAGCTAAAAGCTTCACACCCCAAGCCAGAACACATGCATCTCAAATTCAAAAGCCTTACACCTAAACTAAAAGCCTTGCACTCGAGCCAGAAGTTTTGCACCTTAAACCAAAATCCTTGCTCTCAAGCTAGAAGTCTTGAACCTTAAGCTAAAATCTTTGCTCTCAAGCTACAAGTCTTGAACTTTAAGTCAAAATCCTTACACCTCTTGATTGTTGAGTTTACATGCAATCTTTGATGATTACATGTAATCAAGGGGAGTTGAATTTTTTTGGCGACTCTTCATCTGCCGGCTGGAGCTTCGACAAATGCACAATCAACTGTTGAAGGAATGGTCAAAGTTCTGGCAATCAAATTTTGTACATTTTTCTTAATTTCTTTTCAGTTAACATAGGGGAGTATTTTAATCATTTAATCAAATTATTTTATAAATAAAATAATAAGTTTGGCCTTTCAATCTATTTTGATCCTTGGGTGCAATTTTTGTTTCAATTAGGTTATCTATACCAATTCTGCCTTTTTTTATATATTTATTCTTAAAAAAAAAGGGAGAGTGACAATTAAGAACTTTCTAAGAACATTAATTTTAATTACAGACTGTGAAATTTTAAAATCTTAGTTAAGGACCATGGTCCTTAATTGTGATAAAAAATATAATTTGTGAGGTGGGATTCACTAACAAGACTTGAAAATTTACTAACCCAACTTGAGAAAATTACTAACGTATATTGTGAAAACATGAAACTCCACTTAGAAATGGAATGTTTAACAAAAAGTACTACTTGAGAATTCACTAACTAGATTTAAAAAATTTTTTAATATATATTGTGAAAAAATGAAACTCTACTTAAGAATCATTAGTAAAAAGTGACTTGTCCAAATTGGTATTTTTTATTAAACAATCGATTTTCAAGTGGAGCTTTATGTTTTCACAATATACGTTAAAAAATTTTTCAAGTTGAGTTAGTGAATTCTTAAGTGGTGCTTTTTGTTAAATAATTGATTTTCAAGTGGGATTTTTTCACAATATATGTTACAAATTTTTTCAAGTTGGATTAGTGAATTCTTAAGTGGTAATAATGAATACCATCTCACAAGCTACTTTTTTTTTATCACAATTAATAATCATGATTCTTAACTAAAATTTTAAAATTTCACGATCCGTAATTAAAATTAATGTTTTTAAAGGTCCTTAATTGTCCTTCTTCCTAGATAAGATCACGAAAAGACTCGTGGGCTGTTAAAAGTCCGATCCAAATACACAAGAAGTCGCATGAAGGATTTTTCCTGACTCAGAATGCACCATTTGGGCCCTAAGACGCTCCCGGTTCTGGCTTCATTCTGGTTCTTCCAAAGTGCCCGGTCCAAAATCGATCATACCAGTCCAATCCACGAAACAGCCCAAATCGTCAAATCAAGGCTGGTCATGGTCCATTCCGTTTGAGAACACTCCATTACAGGTGTTGACTAATCCCGTGACCTTGAGCAACTTGAAAGCCTTGGGGCTTGGAGTGCCTATTTATTAATTTACATGTCTACAATTGCATCTAATTACTCTGATACCAATTGTCTTATCTCTCATGTGAAGAAAAAAGAAGAATATGATTCCTTTACTATTATAAGAAATTGAGTCAACGGACAAAAACGAGAGAATATGTATGATCCCGATCCGCAAGTGTTGCTCGGAAGTCAATGTTCTCCCCGCATCTGATGCAATCTGTGACCCATCGGCCATCACATATTGCCAAAATATTTTTAAATTACACCAATCACCTTAATCTCAAAATTACAGATTTTTGGACGACTATTTCACACTAACAGTTGTAATATATATATATATATATATATATATTATATTCTATAAATTAATGATTATGAAAATGAAATTATTGTCAAACTGTTGACTTTCTCCAAACTGACATTAGCTCTCAGAGTCATGGCTTCCCTCTTGGATTCTTTGCATTATATTGATTATAATAACAATTTTCCTGTAAGCCCTAACTTAGTACTTAAAAATGGATTGCTTCACCACGAAGTGACCCTAACCACACTCAAAACAACCACCTCCCATGGAGGCGTCTTCTCAGTTCAACACCATCCCTTCCAATTTACCCTTCCTTTTCATTCTCTTATTCTCAAATCTCTTCACGTTGTTCCTTTCCTCCACCTTCTACTCATCCTCATGCACTCCCGGTTTTTCGGCCACTGCCGCCACTGTACCCCCTCCTTCTGACGACCTCCCGCCGGAATTCTTGGCTTTCACTTCTGGTCAACGTCTCCCACTAGGCTTCAACCACAACTTCGCCTCCGACACCATCCACCCTCCCGTCGGCAATGGCTGCACCCTCTCGCCCGTCGAGCTCCGTCGCTTCATGTCCTACCAAGTCAACGGCTCCTGCCCCGATGACGAGCTCCTCGCACAGAAACTCCTCCTCAAGGGCTGCGAGCCACTCCCCCGCCGCCGCTGTCGTCCCGCAGCGCCGCGTAACTCCATCGAACCGCTCCCTCTGCCATCCAGCCTATGGTCCACCCCGTCAGATTCCTCGGTGGTCTGGACGGCCTACACCTGCAAAAGCTACGAATGCCTTATCAACCGCAAAACACAAAAGGGCTTCGACGATTGCAAGGACTGCTTCGACCTGAACGGCCGGGAGAAGCAGCGGTGGACCTCCAAGAAATCCAAGGGTCTCGATTTTAGCATCGACGACGTTCTGAGAACCCGCAAACCCGGGTCGATACGGATCGGGCTGGACATCGGAGGCGGAGTGGCATCATTCGCGGTGAGGATGAGAGAAAGAAACGTGACGATCGTGACAACGTCGATGAACCTGAACGGACCTTTCAATAACTTCATAGCTTCTCGTGGGGTGGTTCCTCTGTTCATGAGCATATCGCAGAGGCTTCCGTTCTTCGACAACACGCTGGACATTGTGCACTCGATGCACGTCCTGAGCAACTGGATCCCGGAGACGCTGCTCCAGTTCTTGTTGTTCGATATATACAGAGTTCTGAGGCCAGGTGGGTTGCTGTGGCTGGACCATTTCTTCTGCGTCGGAGAGCAGATGAAGGATGTGTATGAGCCGATGATCATGAGCGTCGGATTCAAGAAGGTGAAGTGGGTGACGGGGAAGAAGCTCGATAGGGGACCGCAGATGAAGGAGATGTATCTCTCGGCTTTGTTGGAGAAGCCATTGAACAATTCTTGGTGACTCTACTGTTAGCATTAGTCACGTCTTGTTTTGTTCTTCTTCTTGTTTTTTCCCCCGAGTCTAACATTTTCATGCACACTGTAGTTTGTTTTCTTTTATTTATTTATTTTTTGTCCTGTAGGGTTAGGGGCGACGTGGAGGCAATGCTTAGTTTTGTTGAATAAAATATTTTTGACGTTAATTTTCTCTCCTGTTCTCTATAAGAAGAGAACTCATTGAAAGAATGAAAAGGTGCTTCAGTTTTTTTTTTAATTAGGTTCTTTCTCTTAAAACGGCTTAATGACAGATGTTTGCTATTGTTTAAGTCATATTAATTTGTAATCGGAATTTCATTTTTTACCTTGTAATTAATTGTAATTTCATTGAGATCGCTATATATGTTTTTGTTAATTTCTCTTATATCTTCTTAAAGATCTTATCTGAGTTATGTTGTTTTGTTTTACTTGGGACATGTTTTATTTTCAAAGTTTGATAATTAATATTACACGATTTTTCAAAGATGATTTAACTAATTAATATAATATATATATATATATAAATAATATATATATATATATAAATATAATTAATATATATATATATATATATAATATAATTAATATAATATATATATATATATATATATATATATATATAATATAATTAATATAATATATATATATATATATAATATATATAATTAATATAATATATATATAATATAATATATATATATATATAATATATATAATTAATATAATATATATATATATATATATATTAAGTACTGTGTTTGACAATGCCGCTGTGTCCTCTGGTTGGCCAATCTCGAAACACGTTCGGTAGCGCGCGCGCGCGTGTTTTTTTTGTTTTTTTTGTGGATTGAAATTCGGTAATGCGTTTTTTAATTTAAATACTCTTTTTTGAAATAGTAAATTTTACAAGATCGAAAAAACCATGATTTTAGCAGCAAGCTAGAGAGCAAACACAAGTAGGTTCGAACTTGACCATAGTTTTGCGACCCAAAGCTATTTGCTCTGACTTTTTTCTAAAAAAAAAAAAAAGTTTTTTGCATTAAAGTACAAACTTACGCCAAAACATTTTCAAAGAAGTGCAATTAGTATTCTAACGTTTTTGAAAGGTACAATATCATCCTCATGTTTTTAATAATGGGACAATGTTGCCCTACACTAACAAAAATAGCTAACGATGTTAATTTAGTGAAATGGGCCGACTCTTTGATGCCACGTGTGCAGGAAAATTTTTTGACTATTGCCACGCAAGCTAGTTCTTTGCCCCTTCATCGTCTTCATCCTCACAGTCGGATGGTTTTGTCTTCTTCCCCCACCTCTTCGTCATTATCTTCGTCTTCCCCCATCATCAACAGCAATGACAGTCTTGCTTGAGCTCTTCTTCTTCCCCTTTCACTTGCCAAGATTAGATTCATCGAGAATGCAGGATTCTTTTCCTTGTGACTTGAAGACTGCAAGATTAATTACCTTCGTTAACCCTTTGTCGGTGCCGTCTTCAAATCTCCACTCTTCAGACTTAAGGATTGCGATATTACTTCCTTCCTTACTTTGTGACTCGAGATTCATTCCTTGCTTCCCAAGATTCGATGGCCGAACTGATTGGAACTCCAGCATGTGTGCAACTGATCTCCAATCACGTTCACTAGTAGTTTGGTCTGGTTTGAGTTTAAGAACATTGACTAGCAATTTCTTCTCACTAGGATTAGTTCTTGTCCAAAATAACACGAATTAGAATTGGTGTAATCATTGAGCACACGTGAGACTATAAATATTAGTTCTCATGTATGCTATTGAGTGCGGCACCCAAAACCCCCATTCATTATTCTAACCAATACTAATATCCTTGTTACTTATTGTCAAGTTCTCGTTTATCCAGACACTATTGTTTTTTTTCCTTTCCAATTCTTGATTCAAATGATATCGATTAATCTGGGTATATTAATATCAAATGCTATGGATTATGTTTTTGCTGCAATGGTCTAGATGTATAACTCAAATGCTATGGATTATGTTTTTGCTGCAATGATTGGGTGTGTGGCTTTTCAAGATTTTGCTGCCATAGTTTGGTACAAATCTCAAAGGATTATGTTTCTCAAATTCAATGGAGTATGGCTTTCTGAGGGGGTAGGAGGAAGAAGAAAGTGTGTCTTGCAGGTGGGTGTGAGGACAAATTGAGGATGAGGAAGAAGATCTACGTGGCACTGGTCAAAAGTACTCAAACGTATGTGGCATTAATACGTGGGATCCATTTGAAGAAATTAACACGGTTACCTATATCTGTTAATACAGGGCAACATTATCCCATTTTTTAAAAATGTGGAGAATGACATTTTGCCTTTTAAAATGTTAAGATATTAATTGTGCTTCTTTAAAAATATTTGGGGCATATTTATAATTTGGTCCTTTTTTTTTCCTCGAGGCTTTTAGATTTAATTTGATAACCATAGATTTTACAAACCCAAAGCTCAGCCAAACCTGGTTATAAATAATTTAGGAAGGTTTTCAGGCACCGAGATTGGATTGATCTCTTGGACGACTCAAGGTTTTTCTTGGTCATTTATGATGCTTTTAAAATATTTGGCTCAATAACTTAAGATATTGCATTTAAGATATAGGGACTGAATTATAAGAGAATAAAATATAGAAAACGATTTAAGTGTAAAATACCAAAAATATAAGGATTAAAGCATTAATTTTTCCTTAGTTTTTTTCAGGTAAACGAAAGTTCCTTAATTTTATTTTATAAGGGCGTTTGTAACGTTTCATAAATAGTAATGCAGCTCTTGTTCGCCAGGTCAAATCTGTTTCCTTTTACTTGCCCGGACTCTCGTGATCTGCCTGTATAAAACATCAAGATTTCGCTGAAACAAAACTGGACAACCGTGTTCCCAATAAACCTTCTTTGACGACGGTGAAGCTGGAGAAGGCAAAGGGGGATATCAAGTGGAATGAAGCGTCGTCGTCCTCTGATTCTCCTTTTTCTTCTTTTTCATCTTCGTCACCGTCGTCTTCATTGGACGATAGAGAGTATAAGGTGATCAGGGACGCGAATGACCAGTTTAGAGCATCAGGAAGTCGATTCGAATTGTTAAAACACGAATCAGATTTGAGGAATTTCGGTCACCAAACCTTTCTCAATGGCATCAGTGGTTGCTACAAAGACTACGTGATTCACCCCAACAACAGGTTCGGGAATCCCTCCTCCTCCGAGTATACTTCTTATTTTAATATTCACAATATATTAACATAAAATAGGTGTTGTTTGGCTATTAAGTTCTTTGAAGAAACCCATAATCCTTTACAAAATATATTTAAACGTGCTTTGGGCCAACTTCAAATTTTTTTACTTTTAAAATTTACTCCCTCTGATTCACTATATGGGTCACATTCTAGAAAGAAAATGTAGTCCATAATATAGGTCATCCAATGATGATGACTTTGCATTTTAAGATAAGATAAAGTTCTCAAAACACCCTTACTATAAAAGAAAATTGAAATTACTTTCTTTATTGTAGAGGGAGTAGCTTTTCTATAAAGTGTGGGAGATAAATACAAAAGGATAATATTATATTGATTTGATCATTTTTTTCCTTTTTCATTTGAGAGTTAGTTTTAAAATTTTATTTATAATTATTCTTTATATTTTTATTGTGTTGGTATTGATGAGATTGATAAAAATAATTTATAAATAGGATCGGAGGGAGTATATTTTAAATTAAAAACATACAACTTACTTATCAATTTTTGAAAAAAAATAGAAAAAAATTACATTCAGATCTCACAAAAGGAGATTCATTATTGAAAGGTCTCATGAATTTCATAAAATATTTCTAAGTTCCAAATTTTGTGAATTAACAACTTGATTAAGGGTATTGACAATTAGGTAATGATTATTTACAACTTATAAGTTGTCCAATTATCAATCCTTTAATCAAGTTGTTAATATATATGATTTAAATTTAAAAATATTTTATAAAATTCATGAGACTTCTTAATAATAAACTTCTTTTTGTGAGACTTGAATATAATTTTTTTAAAAAATATTCAAACATAATTTTATTATAATAATTGACTTCTATCAAATTAATTTTTACCAAAATTATTTTTTAACAAATAAAAGTTGGACAAACTGAAAATCAAACACACACTTATTTTAGTCAAAATATTTTTTTATCTAACAATAATAAATATTTAGTGCGTGTATACACATATAACTAATATATACATCACATAGTTTTAAATTTGAAAGAATTGAGTTTACAATTGTCAACATTAAATAAGTAATATTAAAATAAAAATTTAAAGAATGATATTTGAATAGTATAGTTTGATAAAAACTTTGGAGAGCTTTGATAAAACTTTGGAGAGCTTTGATATTTTTTTATTAATTTTTTTCCAAAAGTTTCATTGGATGCTTAGTTGCATTATTCATGAATAATGAGTAGCAGAACTTTATACAAATTTTGTGTACCTTTTTAATAATACAAATTTAAAAGATCGTGGAAGATAATTAGATAAAGTAAAATTGAACCTTCTAAGCAAATGATCCGATTTGAGTACAGTCGTGCAGTATGCATGCAGAGTTGATATATATATATATATATATATATAAAATATTGATCTGATGCCGGGTTGAAATTTGAACTAACGCTCACGGACTTAGTAATTCGCTTTCTTTTTGGGGTGTGGGAGAAAATGGTTGGTGATAATTTCGAGCAAATATAGCAGGCAAAAAATGCACCTATACGCTCTCTCTGTTCTTACATACAAACACATATTTTAGAATTTTTTTGTTTCTAAATATAAGAGGCTGTTGGCATATTTTTAATAAATAGACCATTATATTTTTATTAAATTAAAAAAAATATAAGTACTCTCATTAATTTACTTTGAAAAAAAGATATTCATTTTTATATTTATAATAATTAGGGGTAAAATTGAAAATGTTACTATGCTTTTAATAAAATAATTAATTTTTTTATTTGTGTGATTTAATTAAAAATATTTTGTATATAAGGACGAACAAAGTATGTAGCTTGTCGTTACTTCATTCGTGTAATAAGCCGTTGCAACTTTGGCAACTTACTGTTATATATGTAAAGGATCTCCTTTGCATTTCCCCCGCTGATTTCGAAACAAGGTAAGAAGAGAGAAAAACAAAACTACCGGAGGTAAAATTAAATGTTGAAGCAGTAATGTGCTTTCGGTAGTGTTGATGTTTGTCGTTTGCTTAGTGACGATGGTTTTAAATCATTGACGTCCTTGTATTATATTAGTTACCAGAGAGTGATTCTTACTATCTACTATCATGCAGTAATTGAGGCATCGAGTAATTTTCATCTATATGCTTCTTGTTCTAAGATCTGCATCTCGTTCAGCCCTTAAACTGATTACACAGTAAATCCTAGGCATGAACGGAGGATTTATATATAATTCTTCTAGTTCAGAATGATATTTGTATTTTTTTTTTTAAGATTAGGAAAATAATTAAATGCATAGCAGGTGGTATCGGGCATGGACAAAATTCATATTGTTATGGGCAGTGTATTCATCCTTCTTCACCTCGATGGAGTTTGGATTTTTTCGTGGATTGCCTGAGGATCTCCTTATACTGGACATCATTGCACAAATAGCTTTCCTTGTAGACATTGTTTTGCAGTTCTTTGTTGCTTATAGGGACACTCAGACCTATTGTATGGTTTATAAGCGAACCCCTATAGCTTTGCGGTAAGTTTCAATTCTTTTAATTTCTACTGCTCATGGTTAAGCGATACATCCTTGTTTGCTTGGAATAAAAAAGTGACACTTTGTAATTCATATGATTGATGATTAAATATTTTTTTACATAAAATCCTTATAAGAATTATACAAATACGTTATCATTTATGTTTCTTAAAATTAAAACTTCACTTTTTTTATAAAAAAAAAATTTACAAGTAGACGTTATGATTTATGAAGTTCTAGTTTCATCTCCTCTAAATATTAGGTCCTGTATTACTATTCCCAAGGCAAAAGCCTGTAAGTCTTTGGCCATATGTACACCCCTAATTGTTTACATATTAATCAATTTTCTGTTGCTTGTTTAATTTGTTGAAAGTGATGGCGATTTGAGCTGAACTATATTTTCTTGATTATCCTGGCCTATTAGGGACGCATAATGCAATTGTTAATAATTTGGCCAATCGTTCTAGTATATTTGAATTGAATTTTCATTCAATATTTAAGTGAGTAATCTTTGAAATTAAACTGAATATATCAATGTTTGAGAATGCTTTGTTAGTATTTAAAATAGCAATTGGCATTTTCAATTAATGAGATTAATGATTTAATTTAGAAGATTCAAAATGTACTTTAGAAGATTAAATGACTAAACTGAAATTTTGCATAAAACTAGAGTATTAAAAGTACACTTTTGCCAACGCTTTGTTGATTTATCAAGTGTGTATAAGTCCATTTATAAATTATGCCTATGAGAATTATTTGATTAATGAAAAATTTAGAAGTTAAATATACAAATAAATCTTATGGTAAAATTTACAATTCAATTCACTTGAGATAGGACACTGATAAAGACTTGATATAGGAATTTTATCGAGCTATAAAAAAAATCATATAAATACGTATACATGTTATCATTTGATGTGTTTCACTACTAAGTCCTCGGGTGCTATGAATGATTTAATGAAAAATCTTGTTCCCAAATCTCGCGTGGCAAAATAGCCCCTTGGATTTATAAAACTAACAAAATTCCAATCCGGAAATAAGGGAGTTGAATGGCGATGAGCATTGAAAAATCTGCTCAAATGTTGCCATTCTTATTTGTGCATTTATTAAAGTTGACTCACGATTCCTTTCCCTATTCATGCAGGTATATAAAATCTAGCTTTGTCATTGATCTTTTAGGATGTTTGCCCTGGGATTTTATTTACAAGGTTCTTCTTTCTCTGCATAAACCTAAATTTCTTGACTATATATATTCTTACCTTTAAGTCTTGACCACCTATACCAGTACAGCAACTGTTTGATGTTTGGCTCGTGTCTATTTAATTCAGTGGCATGTATGATGGCATTTTGCATGAGTTCGGCTTCAGATTACTCCCTTTTGCCACATAATGAGTCATTTTGCTTAATAGTAATTCTAGTATATTGTTTTTTTTTTTTTAAGTAAAATGACAACTTCCAGAGGAACGCTTTACCAAGATAACAAATGTCTTATTTGACCCCCCCCCCCGAAAGCTTCAATCATGCCCCATTCTCTGCTCTTTTCTTGTCAAAATTGTTATCTGTATTTATTTAGGATTTGATATATATTCAAGTTTTTTTGTGTCAGTGTAAAGTTGAAAAGTTAATGAAGTTCTACTTACACTCGCCAACTATTAGCTGGCCAAAAAGAAGACAACTTGCGAAGGAAAGGAACGTCTACTTTGGGATCCTGACGTTGTCTCATTTCTCAAAAGGATAATTGAAACTTCCTTTTGTTCTCTGGAATGCTGATAAAATTTTCAGCTGGCATTTGTCTTTGGGTCCCTAGTTGACTGCAGTGATACATGTAGCAGCAACCTTTTCTCATGTAATTGTTTTTGTGCTGAACCTTTTTATGAAGCCAATTAGATTCACAAAATGTCTAGCCTGCCAAGTCCTTGGACCCGAGCGCGTACATAATTATGTCTGCAGCACTTCGTTGGGTGAGAGCTATCAGAGGTTATTTATATTTCATAATTTTCTAATTTTTAGGTGTTACCATGAAACTTACTTTGCAACTCCTTTTGCTTGACATTCGTTATAGTCCTGTCGGTTGTGATTTGAGATATCCGTTTCACCGAAATTGCCTAAAGTATTTTAGTAGATGAAGACAGATTGCACTATAGGTCTTCACGTCTTTTGCTATAATATCTTGTTTTGTAGATTTTTGCTTACTAGGATAAAGCTTTAATGGGCAGGCTTCTGGTAGAAGAGAGGAATTAAGGTACTTTTTGTGGATAAGATCATATCGGGTGCGCAGAGTCAATGATTTTTTACAGCAGTTGGAAAAGGATATACGGGTAAATTACATGTTTACTAGGATTCTGAAACTTCTAGCAGTTGAGCTGTACTGCACTCACATAGCTGCCTGTATCTTCTACTATTTGGCTACCACACTACCTCCTTCCCAAGAGGGCTATACGTGGATTGGAAGTCTAGAGCTGGGCGACTATAGTTATTCACATTTCAGAGATATTGATTTCGGAAAGCGTTACATAACATCCTTATATTTTTCTATTGTTACAATGGCTACTGTTGGTAAGTTACACAATTTATCAGAAAGCAAAATGTTCTTCGTTTTATATATCATCATTAATCACAGAATCATTTATCATAGTCATTTTCAGCTTTAATGCTTTCCTGAACTAATTTGGACGTGGCCAGTTTTATTTAATGCTTTACTAAACTAAGAACCAGCACCTCTGCTTCTTCCATACACCAAGTCTCATTCCACTGACATTAAATCGATAATCTATTGCGGAGCTTATAATTAACATGATAGGGACCTAAATAGGAGGAATGTATTTTAAGGATTTGGTGAATTTGGAGAGCTCTTTCTTTCAAGCATGATGATGGTTCATGTCAATGTAGAAGCAAAATGGATTCATTAAGGTTAATAGGAACGTCCTCATTTTTGGTTTATGATTTTGATTAATTGATAATCTATCGTCCTCATTGTTAAAATCCCTGTTTTCTTCCTGATGAACTGCTATACAATTCTGAAGCTTTGTGAGATGGTCTACTGGGTATTCTAAGAACCAAAAGAAGAATTTGCTCGATCTTGTAAGACCATTAAACATGCTATACAAAGATTGTCATCTTATGCTTATGGTCCCATACTAGGACTGAAGGCAACTGATATCTGATATAATTGGCAATTGGTAATGTTTTTCGATGTTAGTTCTCGTTTGGTCTGAATATTAGCTGAACCTGGTAAATTACAGATGAGATGGTGATATTCTCTGTGCTTCATGTACCATTCCAGAAATATTTTTGCCTTAAATCCTGGTTTCAAATTCTGTACTATTTTTCTTATCCTTAATGTTCTTCTTAGTGAAAATTGTTTGCGATTTTGTAAAAAATTAAAGATCTTTATTTATTCCACAGGGTATGGAGATATACACGCGGTCAATATGAGGGAGATGATATTTGTAATGATATTTGTGTTATTTGACATGGTTCTTGGTGCTTATTTGATTGGTAACATCACGGCATTAATAGTCAAAGGATCAAAGACTGAAAAGTTTAGGGACAAAATGAAGGATCTCACGAAATATATGAACAGAAACCGATTAGGAAGGGACATCCGTGAACAAATAAAAGGCCATGTGTGCTTACAGTATGAGAGTAGATATGCTGAAACAGCTGTCGTTCAAGAATTACCCATTTCTATTCGAGCAAAGGTAATTGGAGGAAGGAAGGCTTTCAACCTTATTGATGCATTGAGGGTGACACAATTAAAGTAACCATTGGAAATGTTCTTTCTTCTAGTGATAATATTATGATTTGTTATCTTCTTCAATAGACTTTCTAACGACTGTTTTTTACCTTCGACTTTGGTTGGTGCATATCAGCATTCATGCAAATGCACAGTTTAGACTATATGAGATTATGACATCTGGTGTTGTGTGTTTGGCATACTAGGTGTTTATGATAGGTTGAATTGTTACCATTTAGAGGTATATTTGCCTTTGGATCCTCTCCACTCACGCCTTAAAAAATAGAGTGATACAAAAAATGTGATTGTGTATGTGGACGCATTTCAGAGCTAAACTAAACTGTTTCTCCTTCTGAATACACCTATATTCATTCTGTGAATGTAGAGGATCCGAGCCATGAGTTTTTTCCCTTATTTTGAATTGAAGAACAAATATGTATCCCCATCACGGTCTTGGATAGATATCTTTTCCAGTGGCTTATGTCAATATGTCATTTTGAAGGCTTTGTATATGGATCTTTGATGCTTTATCATATTCCTTGTTATGTATTCCTGTTCCCCCTTTCTCTACAAGAGCTCTAAGTTATCATATCCTAACATTTTTTTTTTTATGCCTGGTATTTGGTTTTTTGGTGCTTCCTGCGTCCTTTCTGCCTTGTTGGTATTTATAGAACTTGATATTTATGTTTGGTTGGAAAGGAATGGAGAGGAAGGGAGTGAAGTGGAGATTTTTGATATAAAAATGTGGAGAACTGGGGTTGAAAACTTTTAATTAATTTTTTTTATTTTCCTCTTATTGAAATAGAAAATATGGAGAACTGGGGTTGAGTATATCTTCTCTCTATTTTTAAAAATTTTATAACCCACGATCCATTTTTTTTTTAAATCTCCTATCCAATTCCTTCCATT